ATTTTGTTTTTATGTCGCAAAAATTGAAAATATTTGAAGTAATAAGATCATACTATTCCACCTTTCACGTTGAATCAATTATTTACATATTATTGTAATACAATATTAATAACAATGTTCGTAATAATATAACATTAGATAACAATAGAATATAGCTTGACAACTTTAAGTTATTCGATACTCTGTCGTTATTGTGAAAATTTTCTTTTTTGAATAACTTTTTCATATAAACATTGAATGCAACCATCCAATTGTATTCAATATTATAAAATTTGGAAACGAACTGTTATATCAGTTGTCTATTGTGCATCGTGACAACATTATCTGTCTCCCTATGGGAAATGTACCTACCTTTTCTAACAACGGATGACATAACCTAACCTATGCACCTGTGTATAGTTATGCATCAATATCCCCACTACTTGGTAAATACATCAATACAGCTAGCAAGTTGCTACGGAAAATTTATACTACGAGACTTGACATTTTCTTCAAACCTTTTCGTTACAAATTTGAGGTAATAATATCATTGTTAGCTTTCTATCTTTTCCTTTTTGTATATCATTTTATATTTTACAATGTTGATATTTCTTTTTGTTGAGTTACTTTAATAAAGTTGTGAAATCATTTATAAGAGTTATACAAATAAAAATTTATAGTGCCAATACTATATTTTGCATGCTTCACTTTAATAAACATTATAATGTTACATACTTTCATGGTCTTATCTTACATGATTTTACGAACTTCTAATTTTAATTTGTTATTATTTTGTTATATTCACATGTCCGCGCTATTTTTACATTTGTAATTTGTTATTAATATTGTTTCTTAATACATATTAGAAATCATTGCATATTATGCAATACAATAAATAACCAAGGAAAAAGAATATATTTTTATTTGTTCATAGTTGAAATATAGGAATTACTGTAATGTTTACAGTATTAATATCAATTAAATGGATAGTCTGTTTTTTGTATATTACATATGAAACTAGAAAAGTTATTATTTTTCTAAGACTATAAAATTGTAATTCAATTTAAAGTTTTAAAGAACATCTTTTTCTTTTGCCTAATACAAGAATTTTAAACAGAATTAATTACATTTGTATAGGCACTTAATGCGTTTTTTTCCTGGTTTAGAATTAGTACAACAGATTTCACAATCGTTGTCCTTTTAACTCTTAAAACATTGCTTATTAAATTTCGAAAGCATTACAGAGTAATGTTCTTTTGGCCATTTCATTTTGTGATTAATATTTTACGATTAATTTGCATTATCTATCGTTATACTAATCACAAGATGTGACAAATGGTGTATTTCAAAAATTGAAACTTTCAATACAAATATTTAAGAAGAGAACATACTTACTACAACAGAAATATTAAGAAATGTAAAATTTGTGATCGATACAAATCATTTATAATGTCTTCGAGTTATAAGTTTTTTTATTTACGTATTCAAATAATAAAGTGATATAATGTATAATGCATAAAATATTATTGTTATTATTATCATCATCGCCATTATTATTACTATTTCTGTTACTATTACTACTACTATTATTATCACTATTATCTTTATGATTATGATCATCATCATTATTATTGCTAGACATTGTTAGTATTCAGAATATATGCTACGAGTTAAAAAAGTACGTTTCCTTTAGGTGTATGTTCGTTGTTAATTAGAAATTTATATATTATACTCTATATTTTCGTTCATCTTAATAATAACAATAATTCTAGTGAAAATAAATGTATACATTATAAAATAGAGTTTGGATTAAAAATACGATCTGACATTTACGAATTAAAAGCTTTGGTTGCTAATCAAATAAACTATATATTTAAAAAATCAAATGCATGTTTTTCTATCCATCTTTATCCTAAAATTTATTTGTGTTGTGTTAGTATACATGTAGGATGTAGTTTCGCTTTTTCAAGGAACAATTGAGTCTATTTTTGACAGTTCTAGAAGAACCATTAATCCTTTTTCGGATTATCGGTGTCGCTGCGGTTGCATATAACTAAACTAAGCATGCTTTAAAGTGTTCTATCTGTTTGAAGGTTTAAGGTGGAATTTTTTTTCAAAGAAACCATAAGACTTTTTTATATGGATTTTGGCACACATATTCACTAGTATTTAAAATATTAGGTTGTGTAAAAAGTCCGTTTGCGTCGACGGTGGTTCGCTCTTCTCGGTAATGTTATCTGATATTTTTGCTTATTTTGATTGCAATTGATAAACGTATCTCATTAGGGACAGTCTAAAGATGCTTTGCGTTCAGTTTTAGGCAGTTCTCTTTCAGTATTATTCGAGTCATAAGCGTTTAAAAATGAGCGAACAGAGTATTTATTTTCGGCACCTAATCCTTTTTTATTTTTGAAAGAAGTGTTGAAAAAATGAGGAAAAGAATTTGTGACGTGTATGGTGAGGATGCTATTAACAAACGTACCATCCAAAAGTGGATTAAAAGATTCAATAATGGTGATTTCAACGTTGGAGACAAAAAACGAATTGGCAGGCCCAAAGAGATCGATGATGATGAAATTGCAAATTGTATTGAACAAAATCCAAGGTACACAACTAGAGAGATTGCAGACATATTAAATATTTCGCAAAAATCAGTTTCCTTGCGTTTGAAAAAGTTTGGAATGACGAATAAGTACGACGTTTTGGGTCCCGCATGAGGTAATGGAAAATAATTTGCTGACCGCATTTCGATTTGGCGATTCATTGCTAAAGCGGTACAAAGATCGCCCTTTTTTAAAATAACTTATCACTGGTGATGAAAAATGGATTGTTTTTGATAATACAAAACGGAGTAAACATCGGTCTAAGCCAGGATACAAACCACTAACAACGTCCAAGGCAAAATGCATACATCTGAATTTTTTAATGAAAACACAACAATTTTATGAAAAAGGAATATTTAAGTTATCAAACAAACAGGTAAAGGTTATACAACAAAATGGTAAATGTTAAAATGACAAAACTTTATATTCTTGTGAAGAAACGCGAACGGACTTTTTACACAACCTAATACATTTCTACTGAGTCAATGAGGTGCGGTACAAATTTTATAATTTTGTCAATTCTACGAATTGTGGTATTGGGCATGGATTAAAATGTTCTTAAAATACTAATCTATTAAAATATGCAAAAAAAAGAAAAATCGATTTTGTGAAAATTTTAAACGAATGTAACCCCTTCTTCACAGTCAAGGTAGAGACACAGACGAGATACAGGATAGACCTACATCTTATGGGATCCTTACCATTTTCGTGTCGCTACCAACGTTACCGATTCAGCAGAGAATAAGATTACAACATTAGTAGCGGTTGGAATTCGAATTGAATGTAAATGTAAAATTACAAATAAGAAAGTAACGTAATTGCTTATTAGTAGATGATTCTTCACATGCGCGTTTTCAACTGCTATCAAAAGATCGTGAACAGTCCTACCTAAGCAATCCAATATATGTATATATTTTTATAAGCAGATTTAATAAAAGAGGATTTTTTACATTTGTCAACTTTACCATCTTTGATTGTTGGATTGTATGTAATTCCTAAACTCACCGCTTCATATCGTAGATGGCATAACAAAGCTTTGATTTTTTACACGATCGGTATTTCAGAATGTTGGATACAAAAATACATTAAGTGCAAGGTCCATCCTGTACCTCGTCTGCGGTTGCAATTTTATTTTATGTTGAATCGGTAACGTTGGAAATGATATGAAAGTGAAGTAATGAAGCTCTAGGACCTTAAATCGTAACAATAAAAAAATGCATTGAATGAAAGGTCCATTTTATAACTTGTCTGAAACTATTATAACACCGTACAATATATCTATATGATTCATTCCAAAAAGTTTAATGTCTTTAAA